GGCCAGCCACAGCAAGTCTCTCTCTCCTTGCTTATCTTATTAGCTTTCATATTTTTTCCTTTCTCAAGCTTTCTTTGGGTGAAAATTATTTCCCAGATCATTCTTATATCCCATGTTCTTGACTTTACCATAAGCAAAGAACAGGTTTATCTGGACTGCAGGTTTGAAATGGCTCACGTGAGAGTCCTGTACCCTGTCAGGACTGCAGCACCTGAATTGTAGTGGCTTGTCCAATGAGCCAGAGCACGCAGCATGGTCTCTACCAGCCCTGGGATGACAAACAGTCCTGCTGTAGGTTGGGAGCAAAGGTGCATGATACCTGCTGGCAAAAGTCACTGGAAGAAAGCACTGACCCAACCAGAAAGGGCAGCGTCCCATTGCACTGGCTCAGCACCTGCATACCCTGTGGCCGTGTGGTGGTGTGATGCCCAGAGCTGAACTGCCTGTATCATTACAAGAGGGCCTCAGGCAGGCCCAGGGGCTTTTTCCTGCTTGTCAGGATGTTGTGCAAGATGCTGCCCTGTCTGATGCTCAGGGAAGGTATGGGCATTGCCCTGCCATAGCCTGGGAGCCTCTGGCAGCTTGAGCCATTGCCTTGCAGTTGCTTTCTGAGGGAAGCTGTTGAGAGTCCACTGCTCAGGATTGGTAGAGTGAGGCTGGTTGAGAAATGGTAGGGTTTCCCATGGTGGGATTTCTTCAGGCTCTGTTCCACAAGCCATTCCTTCAGTGGTGTTCTCTGTCTACCACCCTTGTATCTCTTCCCTCAGAGGACCCCTGACCATCAGCCTGTGCTGATTCTTGTTCCTACTGCACACAAGGGGCTGCTGCTTCTAAGCTCTGCCTAGAGTGGGCAGAATGTTGCCTGACCCCTCTCCATCTGTGTTTTCATCTCTTCAGGAGTGGGTTACCTGCGCTCACGTGTGGATCTGCCCCCACAGCGGGTTCTCCTCCGTTCTCCTCCTCCTCTGGCTCTCCTCAACCACTTTGTTCTTTGTGGCTTAGAAAACAAAGCCTTTGGCAAGTGAAGGAGGTGCCTGCCCTTCCTGGGGGAGGGCCAGCTGGCCTGCATTTGATTATGGCAGTGCCTCCTCATCCCTCCCCATTGTCCTTGCTGCTGTAGGAATGCCAGCCTTTTTGCGCTCCATCCCGTGAACAAGTGTTGCTGCTCTGGGGCCCAGAGAGGGGCTGGGGCCCTCCTTCCCATCCCTCTCACCCTGCTGCAGGAGAGCCTCTCTGCACATCTCCATGCACCTTCCCTCCGAGTCGCATCCACCCCATCCTGGCTCCGGCAGCAGGTGGACACAGCTAACCCTCTTGTAAGTACCAAGTGTGTGCGGCGCCTCGGCTGACGTGTGAGCTGTATTGAGATTGTTTGGAAACAATGTAGAGAAGGCTTTTCACTCGGTTGCTTGTGGGTGTCTGTATGCTTTCAGCATGAATCAGAGTGCTTTGTGTGCATCTTTTGTGCGCTCAGGCAGAGCCCCATGGACTGTGGGCATCTCTGCATGGTCCCTCTGAACC